CGATGAGTCACCGGGGAACGACGCGAAAGCACTCGCCTTCGCTAGCAAGCACTGAAACCAAAGCGTGCATGTCCTGTGTGTAGTAGTCCTTGTAATATACATATAAAATAAATCTAACATAATGCATTGAAAATTCGTTGTTATTTGTAGCGCATCTAGTTCGAGACGGTAAATAATTAAGGCTCGTTTTAGCTGGTGATTTTCATGTAATTGATCGCGACAATTAGATTCCACGAGGGATAAAATGAAACACTTTTACAATAAAATCAAAAGGTGTAAAATTAAGGCTAATAATGTGAACAAAATAACTGTTACATAATACATGTAAATAAATTCAAAACTAAACATTTATCCCTATGTAAACATCCCTCTTAACTCTTAAGTTAGGTAGGCGCCTGATTGCACGACTAGTGAAATTTCCCTCACAATGAGCTCGCCTGCGTTCGATGTCAACAAACTCGGTCTTTATGCAAATGCATCTAACAAACGATTTATCGGTTAAACCCACATTCCTAACATTTTTGATACCTGCACCTTAACTTGCAATGAAATTCATAACTTAAATAATGTATTGATTCACCTTCAAATTGCGTTCTGTTGTGGCAACTCAGCAAAGATGTAGACTTTCAGTGCAAAAGTCGTACGCTTGAATTCCAAGGCTACAGTCGTCATATTTTCCCGTGTCATCAATAATGTGAAGTTAATCGTGTTGCCAATTGAATTGAATTTGTTCACTTCTAATTTTCTTAGAACGAGCAAATCCGATGAAATCTTCTGTAAGTATATCGATGAGTAGGGCAACGTGGGGCAGCGCGCCCCCCACTTTTTTTAAACTAAATTTTTGATGAAGTTTTAATTGATACGAGGTGGTTCTTTGTTTTGTCTTCATCTATAGTAATGGAAAAAAACTTTATTTAGCGGCAAAAAAATTTTTATATGGACTAAAACAGTTATTCGCAAAGAACTTAATAACGCAATCATTTAGCAAAACGTAAATCCGTACACTTCATCACAGTGAAACTGTCGACCGGCGGTAGAGAACACGGACCAATATCTGCCATACTTAGCGAGAAACCCGCTATGGGCCCGTGACCCGCAGTGGGCTCGCTGTCCCATGTTACCCTATATAAAATGTTCACTATATGAGTGTACTGTCTATGAAATCGTTGACAGGTCATATTTTTTATTGACAGTTATAAACGATATAATTGGGCGATATATATTTCGCGCGCAGCGGCTCTGACTGAAACTAGCTCCTGACTCCGCTATAATACTCGTATTTACCTCGGCCGGTATTCCACTATAATAAAAATTGCATTTAAAGTCAATGGCTTGCAATTAAATCAGCCTGATATAATACTCGTCCATTTACACAAACTGGTTATTGTATTATATGTTCTACACAGTCCAGGGATCGTCGTAAAAGCTTAAACTGCAGAATTTTAATATTTATTTAAAATATTTGTTTGGCTCATCGGCATGACACAGACGATGCATACTAAATGGAGGAGAAGAACGCTTTAAACTGGATAAATGCCCATTCATATCCGGAAATAAAGGCAAGAATTATTCATGGTAAATCCATAGCAATGAATTCACAGCCCTCGAGAAGAGGTACGAAACCGAAGCAAAATATCTTCTGTGTGAGCAGTTGTTCTGATATGTGGTCATTGAGCTTTAAATGATGACTGTGTCTCTAAAGCTTCAGCTGCGACATGTGACTCATGGCTGCTAAAATAAACACAACAAAACATACTATCTGCAAAACTATCAAACTATTTGGTTGGAAAACAATCGTGCACAGGGGCCATGATAGTTCGTTGACACACGTGTCAAATAAAGTAATGACGCTACATGTTATTATCGAAACATTATTGACTCAAGGTTCATTATGCAGCATGTCAATGTACAAAAATCACATTAAGAATGACTAGAATCGTTCATCAACCGCCATCATTAATCAAGTTGAAAACTATCAACGGTCCAAATAAATAGGTGTTGCTATCATAGAGATTACAGTATTAAATTATTAACTTTAGACTCGGCTGAATGTAATTTTTAGATAACACGGTACAGTGAATGCATTATATATATTCGTGGTTTGAATGCTGCTTGGTATTTAAAATTGCATTTTTTGAATCTCTCATCATCGTAAAAACGGGAATCACATATTTCAAGGATGAAACACATTAATAAGAGGTATTAACATACTAAAATTTCATTATTCAGGACTTAGTTTCTATTGGACAATTACATTCAGCCATAACATGATGACTTTGACTGACCTCAATAGTTAGGATTTAAATTAAACCACATGAAATTAATGTAGTTTTTCATAAAGCAAATTATTATGAAGAATTAATAAGCAGAGAAAACATCACGTAAATTCGCTATATCATTGAAATGGATTTAAAAACTAGCTACATCATCAACTCAAAACTAAAAAATGTTGGTACGAATGTACGATCAGCATTAAAAATCAAAATTTACACGTAACAAATTAAAACCTAGATAACAAAAAACCGACACCGCAATAACGAAACTTATTTTCTTTAATTTTTAAACTGATGATGGAGCTGGTTTCCGAAACGTTATCAATGAATATATCTATGGTGAATTCACTTTGCGTTTTAAGGCGTTGTGATTTAATCACAACTTGGTATTGTGATTTAAGGCGACTAATGATAGGAGAACTTAAAATAATCGTGGTTACGCATGCCTTTATCTGACAAAACGATGGCGTCAGTTGTAAAAGGCGTTTTCGTCATTGCCGGCTCTCATCTCACGCTCTTTAGATAGGCGACGGTAGATAGGCGTGTAGAGGGAACAACGAGGTCTGCTACTTATGACGAACGAAATCGTCATCTGTAAGGCACATCCGACATGCGCTGCAGACATTCCGTCGTGAAATAAGGAGGCACCAGCAGACAGACATCCGGTACGTCCTGCAACGCTGCAGCATCAGCCGGTGCACACAGTAGCCATAAATTTGGGTGTCGTCTGCGAACATATGTGGATTCAAACTATGTGAATTGATTATGTGCAATACGTCGACAGTATATAAAAATATAACTCAGTACTCACTACAGTGAGTGACAGAGAGCGCATTTCCTCGTCGACGAAAACCTGAAGTCACGGACGGACAGACAGACGGACGGACAGACGGACATGGCGAGCACAATAGAGCATTTTTTCATAAATGAGAAAATGCGCTAAAAAGAGAGTATCGGGCCGAGAACTGATCTCTGGGGTACGCCGCATGTGACCAACGGTGGAGAAGAAGAAGCCATCCCTTGTCAAATACATTGAAAACTATTGCTGAGATAGGACTCGAACCATTGCAGCGTTGTGCCGCGCAGGCCGAATGATACGTCAAGTTTGTGCCATAATGTGACGTCGACTGTGTCAAACGCGGCCCACAGTCCGAGTAAATCTAGTGCTGAAATGTCGCTGCGGTCTACTGTTCGCAGAATGTCTGAAAGCACCTTCAGCACGGCGGTTTCCGTCGAGTGAAGATGACGCTATGCAGACTGGAGGCAATTCGCGAGACCGGTCTGCTGAAGATAGTTGTTCAGCTGTGGGGCCACAACTCGTTCAAGGTGTTTCGACAAAATTGACAGGTTGGAAATTGGCCGATATGATTTGGGATCGAATGCGTCGAGTCTGTTTTTTTTTCAATGCAGGCATAATGTAACCTGATTTAATGTTCATCGGAACAATACCGTCAGTGAGGCAGCGATTGAAAAGTTAGAGCAGGAAAGATGCCTGGCTTGCGACATTCTTCTTAGCCAATATATAACAGGGCTAAATATCTCTGAAATTAACGTACTTTCCAATATCACTATTCATATTTCGGAGCAAGAAAATTTTCTTTTATCCAGGAGTGTGGGAGAAATGATTCCTTAACTATAGTCTCTATAGATCGCCTTGGACATAAATCACGTTGATCCAAAACGATGTAACAAACATTTGTAAACTTTTCATGAATGTTAGGAAATATTTTTTCCGCCTGAAATGTAATGATGACTCTCGATTTCTATCAAATTGCAGAAATATTTAAGTCTCAATGCAAACTTGTTGAAATTAATTTTCAACAAGTTAGTTTCGCTTAAGAGGAGTTCATTGATGTTAATATCATTTGAGCACTTGCCAGTAATGATCATCTTGAACGAAATTATTCCATTTATCGATTCGAAAATTTCTCTAATGGACAATGACTGCTGTGTGCTTCATGTTTTCCTTTAGAAACAAATGTCATTCGACGTACAAATATGGCTTCTGTTCAACAACTCTCCTTCCTTTCATTCCAGTTATCATTTCATTCTTAGGCCCTAACGACGTCTCTCCAATATTTCTCTGTCGCAAGTACATGTTCGTGAAACTTACTTCAAGTTACAGACAGCGATGTGTCTCGCGAAACTAAATGCATCGCATCTCTGTTATTTAAATGTAGCTATTGAGTTCTTGGGTCTTGCATGTTTACGTTCCTGATGAGTACTGTAGGTAATAAATTTATTTAATTACCTAATGATTTGAATGGGCGTTGCACATGGAGAGATTTGGGCAACAGACTACCCAACATTTTATCCACAACAAAATGGCCAATCAAAACAACAGTCATGCACATAATGTATTGTAAATTATTTCACCCAAGCTGTATAAAAATTCATTGTTGAAGTGCTCAGAAACTTTTTCAACCTTTCAGAAGAAGTAAAAAAAAAGTGCAGAGGTTCCAGGGACAATAACAAGTCACTAAGTTTGAAGTGCAAGGAATGCTAAAAACATTTCTGATTATATTGAAGTTTACTGTATAATGATTTGTCATACGCTTATTTATACTTATATTCAAGCCACATTATATTGAACCACTCGAATTCTACTAATTTCAAGTGCATCAAATATAAATTTATTGATACAAAATATATTGGTACAAAGTGAAATGTTTCACTGCTTCAGAAGTGTTTCAATTTCACTTTTGTATATAATAATAATTATTTTAATAATTTTAAGAAGTGTTTAATTGAATTTATAATATCACAAATTACAATGAACTTCCCACTAGACATTTTTTACTGCACGTGGATTCATAGACTGGAGAAAGTGGTTCTCTAATTATTATTGTGCACCTGTTGCGAACACTTCAAAGCCGCCAATCAGATGGAGGAATGAGGACAAGATTGCGCAGGTCACCCAGTGTACTGGTCCGTCGCCGTGGCGATGCAAGCGGCCTTCGCCAGGAACTGTTTGTGCGGTAGTTCATTATATAAAAAATATGTCCAGGGCATAAGTTGTGCTTCAGTTGTGGTAGATAGAAGTGAAATAATGCTTAGATTCGTGGAAAAACTTCACAGGTTATCATATGTCACAGTGGCATCAGAAAAGGGGATTACCAGATCAAAGAAACTTGCTGGATAGTCTGAAATTTCGACACGTATTTTCACAGGAACTAAGAATGATTTGCATAAGTTCCCACATACTCGTAAACTAAATTATCACTCGTCTTCTAAGTTAACATTTGACATAAATTCAGTGCAAAATAACCTTAATTTATTGTCCAGGCACGAAAAACTTACGGCATAGTTCTTGATGGTAGTGCCACATTTTTTCGCAGCGAAGTTGTACTGAGCAACTTTGCAGGTAGGGTCGCTAGTGGCGTAAGTCTTGTACTGGGCTAAGATCTTCGTGGCGTTGATGGAGCCATTAGCGTTCAACTAGAAATGAATGAGTGCTGTATTCACATTTACAAGGATTGTAACTTCATAATATATTTTAATAAAATGATGAAAAGGCACTTTATCAATATTTCCTGACTTACGTAACCAAGTTTTCCCGCTACACATTTCATGAAGGGAGCTGCGCCAACTTCGCACTTGAGATCGCCGACAGCGAAGTTGTAGCCCCCGCAGCCAGAATTACCTGCAGAACATGTAAATTACTACTTATTGTTTTCGATCTCTCATGAATTTACGTTGGTTTCACTCACTATTTCAGGATACGTCTTTAGATAGCACCAGCATTTAAAAATAAAAAGTCCAGAACCGAGTTTTGGAAACAAAAAATATCAGTTGGGTGAATTGCCCAGAGTAGCGCAATGTAGAAATTTTCAGATCAACCAATTTATAGTAATAACTTTTGCCATATCTAACCTCCGATGGCAGTCAAGGCGGCAAGTCCCGCTGGATCCGACATGCAGGCGCTGAAGGCAGAATTCAGGTCTGCGTTGTGCAATTTGCTGTTGAGGGCCGTTGCACACGCATTGGCACTGGGGTAAAGAAATTAATACGAATAAGTACACCAGGTGAGTAACTTCAAAAGATCATTTCCCATTTTAGTTATGAAAACGAGTAATATCCATAGCTCTAAATGCAACCTTTTCAGCATTGCGTTGTAGTGGCAGTACAAAATTATAGAGCACAAACCAATACATACAATAATTTAAGATAAAGGTGAACAGGAGAGAGCACAGCGTCCAAATGCAATTGCTGAGTTCACTTACCCATCAACACCGGAGTAGGCAAAGGTTGCCGTGAGAAGAAGGACAAGACCGACAGATTTCAATTTCATCATGGTGGTAGTCGTAAAGGCTTAAGCGGTAAGAGGCCAAGGCAAAACGAGTCGTCAACGAAAGGCTGTTGGAAGACCTGTGACTTGGTACGAAACATGGCCTGACTTTATAGCTTCATGATATTATTGAAACAGTTGGTTTTATTTGTCCATCACGTGCATGCAGCTGTCTGCCAGAGATCATCCGTCACCACAGCCAGTGGCATCTAGCTCCACAATCGAATGTTGAAATTTAAATTTTACTGTTAGGAAAATTCAAATTTTCTGGTTGAAAAAATAAAAAACATTTAAAATAAAGTGGAAATATAACCGAAGATGATAGAATTATGTTTAATTTTTTTCATGCAAAGTTATTTTCTAGAAAAACCTCATTTTGTGTTATAACAGCATTTTTTTAATTAAACGTGTGAGTCTACCTGATACCAAGAGCATATATACTCCGTGCTCAGCGTTAATTCAGGTGAAGTGGCGATCGAAGCTCTTAAACGGATGTTCCATATTTGCGAAGACCTCAAAGTTGATAATGTGAGTGATGACTTTAAATCGCATATGATCACAATCTGAGTGTTAAGCTGAACTTGCACCTCGACATGATCGTTCTAAATTGTACGATGTCAGAGAGTTGTGTCAATGTTATCTTTATAATTAATGAGCTACCCTGTGGCTCGATTCTACATTACAATATTCATCCTAGTGTGACGGAATACATGTTTGGATATTTTTTAGGAGTACTGTTGATCACGTGTTTTTGATAATGTTCTTTTGTTAGATTAGTGACTCAATGTGATTGCATATCTTTTTGTGACTAAAATATGGACAGGAAAAGGACAGAAATTTAATAGAGAATGTTCAAGGACGTGCAACAAGGATAATTCCAGGCTTGAAGGGCAAGTCCTATGAAGAAAGATTGAAGATTATGAAGCTTCCAAGCCTCAGTTATCGACGTCTGCGTGGGGACCTCATTGAAGTATACAAGTATACAGTGTATACTCATGGTCTATACAAGGTCCCTGAAGGGTTACTAGAATTTGAAACAAGAACCAACACCAGGGGCCACGGCTATAAGCTAAAAAAATGGCGCTGCAACTTCTCCACGCGACAAAATTTCTTCTCGCTTCGAATCACCGACATGTGGAACAGCCTCCCCGATGACATCGTTGGCGCTCCAAGTATGAACGCGTTCAAGAACAGACTAGATAAAGCTATGGAAAAATATATGTTCAGATTTGAAATGCCTAGCTCCTTATCGAACCCGGTGGAAGTCTAGTAGCTTCTTCAAACTATCGCCAGTCATGAAAAGATCCGATCAAATGACACGAGTTTAGATCTATGAACAAGGCACGAAAAGGAAAAGAATCGGCGACACCTCTTCAGCGCCGACATCACTATGTTATGTTATGGAATCTCGTTACTGTGATATTATTTTGTATGACTAAGGAATGTGTAAGCATATTTTTATTTCGTGACTGAAACAAGGAATCTTTTTTGTTGTGATATCATCTGTCTGTAGCGTTGCGTGCAATCGTCTGCTAAACGCCATGCGTCGTCTGTTAGCCCTGACACGTTTAGACTTACTCAATGATATGTTAATCGTAAAATATTACTTGACCTAAGATTTATTCGCTTTAATGTGCCATTATTTTGTCAAGGGATTTTATCTTTGTGATAATAGTAATGATTTACCATTGAACGGGAATAAGTGCTGTCGATCTACGATATCATCGTTAAAGTAAATATGGCTGCGTTGCCATCTTGCGTAAGGAAGCTAGACATCTTAGAGGTGGAAGTTATATAAAAAGTCGATTGAAGCTGTAGTCATGTTTCGAAAGGATAAACTCTTTATAATATGAGTTTATTAGGTAATAATACTTATCATGGTATTTGATATTGCTTAGTTAATGTTATTTGTCTGGTCTACTGACGAACTGGTATCGACTCACGCGCTCGCAAGTTAATTATCCTCGAGATTTATTCTATCTTGTATTAACTTTCACTATTCCTTATGTGACCAAACATAAGGAATGTGATATTATATTATGATAATATCACATATTATGTGATATTATCTATTTTTTGCAAATAGACGATTTAGTAGCCCATTTCTTGCACATTGTAAACGGGATGTCGAGGTAAGCTCATTTTGGCTGAGTTACCCCCTCGTTGTGTATGCTCAGTGTTACTGGGTTGGGGTGACACGGTTTCGACTCAAAGCAGGCAGAGCAAAATTTGGGCTTTCAAAAATAAACTCCACCGATGTTCTGGGCATAACTCTTAGTGAGTTCCTCTAACGGACTAATAACGGCGTAGGTGGAGTTCTTGGATAGTTCCAGGTTTTGGCTGCGTTGGGCGGTTAACAGCCGTTCAATTCTCACCCTCGTGTCGTAGAGGCTAATAACCTCTGGGCTCGAGTAAATTGTCAGCTGCTTATTGGAGGCTCGTACCCTTCAATAGTCGTGGTTTTGGGGCGTAACTGCCAACCTGGTTCTGTGTTCTTGGCAGTGTATTAGGGCTAGAACCCCTAGTCTCTGCGGAGGAGTGCCTGGGATCATGATGCCTGGGAAACGCCGGGCTAACCTGCTACGTACGGTAGGTCATATTTTTCACTACAACTGCTGGATGAAAGCATATTATTGAGTGGATGAATAAAATGAAGAATAGATTTGTGTATGTGTTTGGTCGTATATAAGTGCGATCCATTTATGCAGCACACGTTTGCTCATGTCGGCAGGCAAATGACTTTTGATTTGATAAATGACTGATAATCACACAGTAAATACGTTTGCTTACACGTTTGCTCACGTCGGCAGTCAAATATCTTTTGATTTAACAAATGACTGATAATTACACAGTATATACGTGACATAATGGAACGGGCTAAGTTTTATTTCTGGATGATTAATGTTCTCCAGATTTATGTTCTTTCCTGTCCAACTGTTGGACATCCGTGGCCATTTATTTAGTTTAGTTAGTGATATGTACATATGTTTGTGTACATATGTGGGATATGTGTACAGCGATTTAGATTTTTATTTAAAACTTGCACATAAATGTGTGAAAATAAAATTAATTGCATTCTAAATTCTTCGGTGGCATAAAATTATGTCATTTTAATTGATATTCAAAGAGACAAGTTGTTATCAATATTGTTTGCGGCATATTACAAAATTGCAACTTTGCATTTAAGAAGAAAGTGCCCATGATTATTTTCGTCATAATGTATCAAATACTAAAGGTGTTTTTATATTTAATTATTAGGTTAAATATTGATGTTGCACAAATTAAACACGGCCCGCGTTCTATAAAATGTGGACGTTGCAGTCATTTTATTTTCACTATGAAGCACACGTGTTTCTGAAATTGCGGAGATGATTATTGATGTTGATGGAAATGACAGAGTATATGATAGACTCCTGAATTTGGTACACTTTTATATTCGAGACGAGAAGCTTTTATCATTAGTGATAAAAATCGGGATAATTTTCGGCACTCTCAGAGAATTTCGGGACAATACCGAGACGAGACTAGGCGTCTCGGATAAAATAAAACCTTGAAAATTTCTCGGAATTTGACATTCATTTTTTACGAGACGCATTAGTTCATCCTTAATATGAAATTTAGAAAATAATTGTTACCGACTGAATGAATCGTTGCCTTATCTGCTGAGCAACATTTTATCAGTTTTCAAAGTAGTGGTATTTTACTGTATAAAATGATTTGGCTTATGCTCATCTTGTCAATGAGAGTAAATTTAAGGGGCCAGATAAAGCTCATCTCCACGCCCTTTAATTAAACGGCTGACTCATAAAGTGCGTTCAGTACTTACTTCGCCAAGACTAATTACTCCCATTTGCGGGAGGTTACTGCTGGTGGTGACGTAAGGAAATTTCGTTAATTTTATGGTGGCATGATTACATTATGTAAATTTAAAGGATTGAATATTCTTGGTTTCATTATTATAATTTTATTATTGATCGGCAATAGCTTTAATTCAGTCAGGTTGCGATCGTAGCGTCTTAGGCCTTACGCGGAGTATTCACGTATATGAGTTCTCGTATGAAATATGTGTCGCGTCCAGTACGCGTGCGACATATACTTTTAGTTTGTAGCCTTACGACGCGGCGCGGAGCTGTATTCAGGGTCGCAGCCACCTGCCATTCATTAGTTTTGATGTTCCTAGGAGTTGAGCTTCCGCTGAATTAATCATTAGGTCAATTTTCTATAATTGTCATATTGTCTTGTTCCTATTATAGAAGTTAGTTTATAGTTCTCCAGTGTAATGGAAAATAGTTTCCTTTCTTTTGGCATAGTAAAGTAAGCTTGAATTCCTGTTGACAATTTAGAATTTAAAGATTAGGGCACACACCATCCACGTCAGTTCCTAGTTATTTGTATCTGTTGCCACGATCATATTTATTTTAGCCAGGACTTGTGCGATACTGAGATGTTGGTTTATTAAATATCCATGTATATATGTACTTGGTCTGAATTTTCAGTTAGTATTTTCATTTGTTCTGATGTGTGGAATTTTGTTCCACAGTTTTACAAGAAAAATAAGGAAACGACCCAGAATGACTACTATCTTTCCTTATCATTTGTCTCTGCCTGGCTTGATGAAGTGGCCGATTGAATTTTAACCAGACAATAGGTTACGGCAAAAATCGTATATAGAGAGGGTTGCAATGAAACGCTGGTACATTTCATATTAAATTGTAGAATTCAAGTTAACTTCCTACTTATATAAAATCTCTAGCACAAGGAAAGGGTAAGCCAAACACACAAAAATTGAAATTATATCAATCTACATCACTCATACTTCCAAATTACCACAAACGTTGATTCTTGGAAGTTGGAGGTTCCGATGAGTAGCACGACTGTTCGTAAAAGACCGTACCTCACGCTCACGTTTGCGGCCACACCTCAGCCCTAGCCCCGCGTCTCCGCGGTCACATTTCAGTCGATCTGTCTTCACGGTCGTAATCTCCGCCCTTAGATAATTGTCTCAAGGCCAGTCTGACCGTATATAACGACCGTGCTTCTGAATAGTGGCGTAATCTTTATCGTCGATATGTTACTCTAAGCTCATTGACG